ACACGAGAATGCAGCTGTTCCCTTAGAGGGCCACCTACACGTTGAGCGGATATGGTCGCGTGCAAAGCTAATGGGCTGCCTTTATGGCGAACTGATATGAGCACTTTTGAAATTATAAGTTGAAATACCGCTGTAAATATATTGTATCCTATGCATGCTAGTGGGGTACTTTGTCTCAGTTTTAGTTTGCCATCTAGGTGTTCTTTTATACGGATGCACAAAGGTCTGCCTGTTTCGTCAGTATATTCATCTCCGCAATTATTACAAAAGATTAGGTATATCGCACCTGAACTCATGCAATCACCGTCCCTGACGTTATCCTCTGAAAAGGAATATAAAAGTCAATATCGAAAGATAAACAATGAATGGGTCAGTGTGGAAACCGAGAGAAAACTTGCTTCCGTTGTTGGACGTTCAAATAAACCTATCAAGTAGCGGTTACCTGACAGAGTGGTATCGAAAGCCAAGTAACAAGAACATTCTTGTTCATTTCCTTTCTTCCCACCCTTCACACACAAAGAGGGCGATTGTGAGAAACATGTTTCAAACAACCACCTCTGTGTACGCTACGAATGAGCTAACGGAGGAATCGCGCGACTTGGCTCGGCAAATAGCCATCATCAATGGCTACGAAACAGTAACCTCAAGAGATAAGTTTAGAAGGAAAGCGACTCGAAGAAAGGCAGGTCTAGAGGAATCGGTAGCGATAGTAGAAATACCACCGACTACTCTACGTCGTCAATTAGTTCGTTACCTCTTGTATGACCGTCTATGTGAAAAAACAGATTGCGTAACGTCAGGGACGGTGATTGCATGAGTTCAGGTGCGATATACCTAATCTTTTGTAATAATTGCGGAGATGAATATACTGACGAAACAGGCAGACCTTTGTGCATCCGTATAAAAGAACACCTAGATGGCAAACTAAAACTGAGACAAAGTACCCCACTAGCATGCATAGGATACAATATATTTACAGCGGTATTTCAACTTATAATTTCAAAAGTGCTCATATCAGTTCGCCATAAACTTTAGTAGCCTAGATAGAAGCTTTTAGAATATAGAAGTTCCAGCGAACATGAAACAAGACTATTTACACTAACCGCAAACAATCCTGGATTTCTGTAGACGATAAAGTCGTTATTGATTGAAGCAAACTAAACCTTGGTTTGGTCTTCCAAGCTCTTTTAGTGCAGGATATTGTCCGGATAATCGACTAAATGGCTCCGATAGGCGAGAGGTTTAAACAGTATTTTGGAAGCAGAACTCTTTCAATCTTTGCACCGTGGGCAGTAAGAAATGTGGCCGTGTGGTATCACGGAGGATGACAGGCCGTATGGCTTGCCTGTTTGGCTATTTTTTTCGACTTCTCAATTATCTTCAGGTACTTCGGAACTGCTGAGGAGCCTACACCAAGTTCTTCGTCAATTTTCGAACAGTTGCGCTCATAGTTCTGCTCCCTAACCCTTTAATTCATCATCGTTAGCGGATAAATAAAAGAACATTCTCGAGCTCCGTCATCGTCAACCAAATCTGATTTTTTCGAAACTGCGGCACGAATTTTTGCTATTTTGAATAATGCTCATATTCCCAAAACGAAAGCAGTTGAGAAGCAGTATTTCATCCACCAATGCTTATCCTAAATGAGCCACCTGTTCCTTGAATACCTAGAAAGCTTTAAAAAATATAGGTTCTGTTTTAGATTTCCGAAAACCTTAACTTGAGAATATTCACACCTAGAAAATTACCTGTATTACCTGTAGTCCCGCTGTTCGTCGAGGGGCTGAAGCAGGCGCCAGTAAATCTTCCACTTTTTCCTGTGACATGCAAGAGGTGGTTCTGCTCGCTCTAGGGACTCGTCGGGCATCATTTCTTTCTTCTAGACTCCTCGTGGACAGCTCTGACCAGCAGGTCGGTGGTCTTCCTGCAGTACGTTTAACATCCCGAGGAATCCAGTCACTAACGGCTCCTGTCCATCGGTTCTCATTCATACGCATTACGTGTCCGGCCCATCTCATCTTCGACTGTTTGGCGTACAGAACGGCACCTTTGATTTTCGGTCGATGACGCAGATCTGAGCTTCAGATCACATCCCTTACTTCCATGAAACAGGATACTTCTAGCATCGTTCTTTCGACTGCGCATTCGATAAAATCGTTCACTCTGCTTACGCAGCGACCAGGTTTCTGACGCATGTGTTAGGGCTGGAAGTACCATCGAGTCGAAAACGTGAGCACGGAGTCGGGTGTTCTTTGTTTTCTACACCACAACCTCGATGCTGTTGAACGCTCCGCCAGCCGCTCGCCAGCATTTTGCTCGCAATGTTAACTTTTCATTTAATGTCTACTATGATTTTTTACATCGAAGTATCGCGAGAGTGAAAAATACCACTCTGCTTCATTTTCATCGATTTAAAGAAAGCTTTTGACTCAGTTGTAATTTAAACAGTCATGGAGGCTCTGAACAATCAGTGAGCACCTACTTAGTAGATAAAGATTCTTGGTTGGCTGCATAAAGATGTCGTAACCAAGGTATCACCATTCCACAAAGACATTGAAAAAACGACCGCCCATGTGAAACAACAAATCGCGTAATTCGCCCTTATGGCAGGGGCGGTGATTGCATGAGTTCAGGTACGACATACCTGATCTCTTGTAATAATTGTGGAGATGAATACATTGGCGAAACGGGCAGACCTTTTTGTATCCGTATACAAGAACACCTAGATGAGAAACGAAAACTAAGACGAAGCACCACACTAGGCACGCATAGGATACAAAAGCATAGAGGAGACGATTTTGAAGTAAAAATCAATATCCTTCTACAGGGGACTAAAACACCAGCGCGAAAACTTTTTGAGGCCTATTTAATAATTGCCAAAAACACTACAATGAGTACCAGCGAGAAATGCTCAGAAGCCATACGCGACCTGACCCCGTATGTTCGCTTCAATTTCTAATGCTGAGTGGTGCAGTTATCAACCATATGCGGCTATAATCAGCTGTTCTAATCTTCCCCATTGAATGTCACGTAAAAAGCCGTAAGTTTTCCGAGAAGCTGTTGATCATGTAATTACCGAAGAGTGTTTCGTCTTCAGTGCTATTGAAGCGTTTGTCCTAGTAAATCGTATATCAGTATACTCTTCCAGGCTCTGGAGAAGGCGATACTGCCAAAACGTCAGCTACTGTTGCATTGCACTGTGGTTTTCTATGGAAATAAATGTGTGCTGTATACCAACCTCTTGATTACTGAACAAGAAATCGACTAAATAACGACTTCTCAACATTATTATTACAAGCTTTTTAAGCATTCGGCAAAAATTTTCGTCTTGTGTTATTGTCACTACTGCTTTTGCACAAGCATGTTGAATGACTTCGCTATTCATGCAATTCTCGAATCCCTCATACAAAACGAAGGATCAATAAACGCGCACGGATCCACGATTCAGCTGTTCATGGCCCAACTAAGGGCCGCCTAAGTTCCTGAAACTTCAGATAGTCCGGAAAGTATTAAGCGGAGTTCGCAATAGGACAGCGACTGGCACCAAGCCCTGCTACTGCATTTATGTCTAACGTGGAAGCATCGGTAATCAATCTCCGCCCATTACTATGCTGTAGATGTATAGACGGCTGTTCTGTCCTTTGCTAAACGCAAGAGGAAATTGACAAATGTTTCGAGTTCTTGAACGAACGGTCAGAGTACATTAAGTTTAACAGAGAGAAACCGAAAAAACTGGCTCCCACTTCCGAACGTTCAAATTAAGCTCAGCTATACACACATATATATAGATAAATCGTTGATAAATATGTGAACAATTCACCATGGATTCGACTTCATTACGCATCGTATGGAGGTGATTGAATGCATATTCGGCTTTACAATGACTCGCGGTGGGCTACGGATGTATTTGCCGACCGCAGGAGGATGGAAGGTTTGGTTGGCTATGTGCGCCGGAATCGATTCCACGTGAGTGTTGCAGGGCGCCTCCGACTAGTAAGCTACACGCGTCCTACACATGTATATATATATATATATAGAGAGAGAGAGAGAGAAAGAGAGAGAGAGCGCCTTTCTTGGTGTACGCATAACGCAGTGGTTAGGGGTGCCCTGCAATATACACTCGATGCATCGCGCACTATGCCTACCAAGCCTTCGTTCTTTCAGGGCGGCAATTTGCTAGCAGATACGTCTGGAGATATAGCAGCACCGGTTCGATATATCGGTAGGTCACGATGAGCCATTCTATAGGCCATAAATGCATACAACCACCTCTAACGGTGCTCGATGAAGTCGAAAGCAAGGCGCATCCCTCAAGCATTGATCAACGTTGACAACAGTATCCCTTTCGAAGGTCACCAAGAGATGTCTACCTCCAGAAACACTCGGGCTGATGCGAGCGCGTGGAGTCGCACGAGCTGCAGGCAACCTCGAACTAAACTCCGAACATGGAAAATAGTGCAGGCATGCAATGAAGGAAGATCTCAAAGAGGGACGAGCAGCTGGCCGAGGCTGCAGAGGCTGGGTAATAAGACCAAAATAATTGCACTCCGACGCCCAAACGCAACAGCTACAGCGTAAAAAAAGACGATGGAGAAAACCATTTACGAATACTACTCGGATGTCTTCGACAGCCACGGCCACCTCCTGTCATATGATGTAAAAGACTATGGACATGTTGTACAACCTGTTATACCTTCCGAATTCCGACATGCCATTTTGTCAGTGAAAAATCGAACAGCTCCAGATCTGGACGGGGTACGATCTGAACACCTGAACAACGTGCAGCCGATCGTCGTAAACATCTCTCCGGTTCACTTTGGATTTTTGAAATTTATCCAAAACGCCTCAAGAGTTTTGCCTGTTGATGTTTTTGATTCCTGCACTAATATCCTCGTAGTCACTTCAAAATCATCGCCGTTGTCATTTCAACCTTGATGTTATCTTACGCGATCACAAAGTGGTCTACGCGTTTCCCCAATATATTCCACCCCGCACTCGTTACATGAGAACAAGTATATTATACCTGAACTCATCCAAACGCCGTCTCTCCCGTTAGGACAGATCATACAGTTCCCTGAATTGCGTAAACGATCATAGAGACGGTTTCGAACTAATTGATAGCGTACGGTATTGATTGGGATTTCAATAATCGTTACATAATTTTCAAGACTACATTTTCTCAAGCGCTTTTTAATGGCGTGACCTACCTCATTTGATATGAAGGGTGGCTTAAAGGTGATCTTACTTGCGTCGGAAACATTAATTTGGGGAACTACCTACGTTTTTGTCTAACCCGAGTGGCCTATACTTCGTAGCCATTGGAAATGGCAATTTTCTGTACCAGGTTTTGCGATTCCTTCTTTTCCTCTTCTACTGCAAGCAATTTTTAGCCGTACGGTACATATTTTTAATAGGTGCTTTTTCATGTGTGAAGGACGAGTAAAAGATGTAGTGAACAAGAATGCTTTTACTACTTGGCTGGCGATACCATTTTGTTATATAGCTATTTTTCGAGAGATTTATCTGGATGTTTAAGAATGGAAGCCAGTTTTTTTGTTTTGTTTTTCTTTTGTTTTGTAGTTTAAAAACCCTCATGCCCCATTCTCCTCTTGTTCTCTATCACATCATCATCTGTCCATATATCAGCAGTAGAGTAACGGGCCGAGGTCAGCTACTGGTGCTTCCAGCTTAGACATGAAAGCGATGGCAAGGCTTGCAAGGCTTGGGGCTAAACGCTGCCCTATCGCCAACCCTCTAATTTGTGCAAAATATTTTCCAAAATACTTAAAGATTGAGCAACTAACGCACTGCTTTTAGAAAGTCATTAGCCGCAAAATCGACAAGCTGAACAGTTTTATTTTCTTTTCATGCTCTACGAGCAACTCGAGAATGGCGGAGTCATTGGACACGTTGCTATAAAGTGACGTAACATCAAATGACTCCGTTACATGCGTGCTATTCGGTTGCACGCTTCGTAAGTGGTGTTGAGATATTTTGGGGTTAGTTAGATGGGTTGGAATGAATTTTAGCAGCTGAGTAAGGATAACGTTTAGGAACCACGTTGTTCTACCCGTTGGCCCGCCAATACAACTGATAATATGTTTAAGTTTAAATGATGATGGGTTCGTTGACGTAATATCATCAGTTGTAGTAAGCTTATGAGTTTTAATAAGCAAGTGAAAAACAGGGCAAGTCGGGTGTTCATTTGTAAGTTGAGGAATAACTGAAGGCTCTACATCCGCGGCCTTTGCCGTGCTGACCCATTCTTGGTTTTGCTTTCGGTATTGATTTCTGTACTCTTTTTCAGAGGATGTTCGATAGAGAGGAACACCATTAAGGTGCTTCTCTGTTATCCTAATATCCAGCTGACTAGAAATAATTACAAATTCTCCACCTTTACCACTAATAGAAAGTCTAACAGATAACAGTCCGCTCTAATCCCGTCCTGTGTTTCGATAGCTAACGTATTATTTATGTGTTAATGAAGATATACGGAGATTTTCTTTTTCAGATGCCCGTGTCTAATTTTATCGGATTTATATGGTGTGGGTTTGCGTCGCCGGAAATTGAACTTCGGAGGAGAGCAACGCTTGGGAAACGTCTATCGTTTATGATTTGATTTAATTTGGACTCGCTGCATAACGCCGCATCTGTTGAATAGGATCGCAGACAAGCGATTGCAGCTGGAGACAATGGGACTTCCGCTGCCATACACCAAGCAAAATCTGAAAAACATGGTAACTTGTTCTAGCAAATACAGTCAACAAATATTGACGATTACCGGTAGCCTGCCAGCTTCTGATCTTTCTGAGCCTTAATCTCGACCTCTCCATAGACACATCCAGAGATGTTATAGCCAGAAAAGAAAGACTTCTTAATCACCTCAATTCTCTTTTCTTGAGGTGCCTGAGCGTAGTCATATTCTTGCTCAAACGACAGTAACGCTTAATACAATCCTATCCTGATGATGAAATTGCAAAAATTGAACTGATCTCGGAGACCGGTTCCAAAATATAGC